TCACAGTTATCCTCCTGCCTCCGCGTCCTGAGTGCTGGGATTATAGGCATGTGCCATCACACCTGGCTGGTGTATTTTGTGATTAATACACATGGCTTGGTGTTCTGAGTTGACAGAAATAACCTGAAAGAATATTTTGAAAGACAATAGTTTCAAGAGTATGACTTTGGTCAGGTACCACGAGCTGATATCCTAAAATTTACATTTGAATCCTAAGAGTTGTTGACCTGCCAACTCAAATAGAAAGGGTGACTGAAATGAAACTCCATACATACAGTAATGGCTGAGTGCCAGAGGAACTAGGTTGGTGGGTATCGGACTACAGGTAGAAAAGGCTGGGCCCCTTGGCAAGATACCTAAAGGCACATGGAGAAAGTGCTTAGATCATCTTTCAGTAGCTTATTTTCTCAAGGGTGCAAAAGTAAAGAAACCTTAAGTAGGGACCAGGGAGATGGCTCAGTAGACTAAGCGCTTGCCAAGGCCTGAGTTCAGTCCCTGGTTCTGCCTAAAAAAAAAAAGGAAACCTTAAGTAAATTAAAAAGTTTTTAAAAAAATACTTATTAGCAGTGTTTTTTTTTCAGATTTCACATTTGACAGTTAAGCTTCTATTCATGATTCCAGGCCCCGTCGGCTCTGCTCAGGGACACGCTCTGTCTCTGTGAGGAGCTCTGGAGTGTCAGAACAGAATGATTGGCCAGCTCAAGTGAAGTTGCTCCCTGTTCCTGCTGTAGAGCATAAAAACAGTTATTCTTGGTAATTTATTTTTAGCTTTTATGACCCATTTTAAGTAAAGTTTTAAAAAATAAGCTTATGCTAGCCTGTATATTGGGGAAGTTACACTACTTTCATTGAAATCACAGCTTTTCCTTAGACCTATGAATAAAGCAGGTGGGTAGGAGGTGACCAGTTATGGTGTCCTAAACTGTGTTGGAAATTTAAATTTTATTTAAAATTTATTTATTTGTGTGTGTGTGTGTGTGTGTGTGTGTGTGGCCAGCTCAGCCCACCAGGGAGCGGGGCTGGCTGGCATGTGGTGCTGGGGGATTGAACCTTGGTCCCTGTGCTTTGCTAAGCTTGTTCTAAGTAGGTGCTTTAGACCACTGAGCCATCTCACCAGCCCCATAAATTTTATTTAAAGGAAGTGGGAAGCATGAAGAGTTTTAATCCAGGAAGCTGTGTTTCATCCCAGAATGGTGTCTTACAGAACAGTAAGACCAGTGGTGGACTGGAGTTTTGTGAGGTCAGGGCTAGCAAGCCCTGTGGACACATGGACAGCCATGAGGCATAGGTTCAGGAGAGGAAGTGGGTAGGTGAGTATGGTGGATGTTGGGATTGCAACCAGAGGAGGAGAAGCCTAGGAAAAGTCAATAACAGAAGACTCAGTAGTCCAGAGAGATGGTGAGCTAGACAATCATTGGCATGTAGTGACAGGCCCCAAGAGTAAGTAAGATTGCCACTTGCCAAGAGACAGCAGAGATAGAGACTGAAGCTGGCAGACTGCCAGAGCAAGCATGGCACAGGCCTATGGATGTAGCCCCAGGGACCTGCATCAGCCGCCAGCATCCCATCTTCACACAGTGGCTGTGTCCGTCTGTCCTTCTTTTATTTTCAGCTGTTCATATTGCCAGTCTCTGCCTGGAAGCTCCTTGTCTTCTGTCTGGGTGGGCCTGGTCACCAGGCACTGCTCCTTCACCTAGAGGTAGAGGGATCATGGCCACACCTCCTTCCAGCAACACCTCACCTCAGGATCTTGCGTTGCTTTTGTTCTTAGCAATTTCACTGAACACACGATTTTCTAACATCCTCGCCATTCTGTGCACTTAGTTTTTTTCTTGTGGAAAATGTCTCACACTAAAATTAAAAGGGTATCAAGAAGCCTGTTTGTCTGCCTGAGTCTTCTTCCATTCTCCATGGGTTACTGTAAATAACCAAGATACCAGCATCACACCAAAACCCCAGTACAGTTATTTTATTTTATTTACTTAGTTTTGTTTTTTGAGACAGGGTCTCACTATATAGCCCAGACTGACTTCAGACTCACAGTGCTCCTTCTGTCTCAACCCTTCCAATTGCTAAGATCACAAATGTGTACCACCAAAGCCAGCCAGCCCTAGTAAATTTAAATGGGTTCCTAACACCTCATGTGCAGTCGTCCATTTTCTTCCAGATCATGACTTTGGTTTTTACAATCAGGTTTTTTTTTTTTTTTTTTTT